TCATGGATCCCTTGAAGGCTCACATCCATGCAGGATGTGAGCTGGTGTTAAAGTGCTTTATAAATAAAGTTGGTGATGAGGATGAGGATGGACCGGCTCTGTTACTGACTATAAACAGACAGAAGCAGCTTAATGATTATTGTGGCCAATCTGCAGAATGTTTGCGTTAAAGTGCATTGTTACTACTTCACTTGGCAGCAACAGTCCCAGCTTGGTGTGTTTTGTGAAAGGTGCCTTTTGAGGTTTTCACCAGAGCATAAAGAGACACACTCTTGTGTTTCAGTCTGTAAAGCTTTCAGCAAGCACCCAGCTGTCATCACCTACCTCAAACCTTCTCTTCCTCCTGGAGCTGGCTGCATCCCCCAGAAGAGTCCCATCGGCTCACAGCCCAAATAAGAGCCTCCCACTGAATGATCGCTGCTCACTGTTGAGTGGACAGAAAAGATATTAAAACACAAAATGCCAGCTTAGAAATCCTTGAAACAGTAAATATGTTTCATGTTAATCTGCTGCTTTGATTGTTCAGATATAAACATAAAAACACACGGTTCATGAATACTACTCACAGCTAAAAGTGCCTCCTGCGTTTGTGTTGTAATGAGCRAAGGACTCCCACAGGTCTCCCTCGTCRCTGTGCATTYGAGCGCACACTGTGACGGGACAGTGGGGGGGCAGGAAGTGACCTTTGATGCTGATCTGTTCGTCCATGAGGGCGCGAACAGGAGCGGCTGTCAGTAACGGGGCTGGYCTGATGCTGCTGCTCCACCGARCTGAAYCTGCACAAATAAAGATCCAAYGTTTATTCACAGTACTTACTGAAATGTACTGAGGTGTTTTCTGCACTGGAATGATGGCAAAGTTTACTGARCAYGAACACAAGCTTTGAAAAACAAAACAAAAACTTACCTGCCAGCTGCTGAAGACATGTCAGTTTCCCATAAACTCTGGGAAGTATATTAATCTTCATGTTGTTGAGCTGCAGGATCACACTCACACACACACCTGCTCTGAACATCACACAGTGTCTGGTCAATCTAAAAACAAAAAGGCGGAAGTCAAACAATAAACTGAAGATACAAGCAACAATGAACAACCCTTACACCCCGAAGGTGCTGCAAACCAGAGGTTGCGCTAGACTTTTTTGCCGTCCGTCATTTTGACTGACAGTCAAAA